TTTGTTGTTTCTTAACATATAATTCAAAATGATTTCATTTAATGGGCCACTAAGTTGGGCCTTATCTCGAAGGACTTTTTTGGTCAGGAGAAAAATGGGCCACTAAGTTGTGCAGTCATTGGGCTAAGCTCCCAAGCTTATTATACTCCTGAAATAAGTGAATCTGATTTCTTTTTCGCATGTTTGTGAATAAAAAATATTAAAAAAAGTATTGTATAATCTAAATTATATCGTATTGTATAACATTTATCATTACTTATTATTACATGGATCCCTTAATATTGAGAGTTGTCATTCTATCTAATAGTTCTTATTCTACAATTTAGACTATAAAATAAAATTTCCAATATTAAAATTATTTCATAAATGCGAGTTAGTTTAGGGACACTTGAATGTTTAGGCACACAAAAAAAATGTTGGTGCATGATTTTTTTTTTTTAATGGTACTTAAGTAGTGTTGATATGTCATGTGGTGCAAACATTCTTAACAATCTATGCTGTAAAAATTTATATCATTGTAGAGTAGATTGCTTTCCAGTTAAAATATTAATTAGATCTTTTATCTTTTAGGATCACTATTAATTTTAGTTCTGTCTGATGGATAACATATACTAATTTAAAAATAAAAATGATGAATGGAGCTTTAAGTTTTGACAGAAGCATAAACTAATAAGTAAGCAATTCTTTAGATCCAAAAACTTAAATATGTTTACACATTGGTTTGTTTCAAAGTCATCAAATTTTATGTCTGATATTCAGTGCTCCGTACAATCCTTTTGATTAATATCAATCCGATTAACATATATATATATATATATATAGGGAAAGTATAGTGGGACTACTATATAATTATAACATATTTAATTTATAAGCCAATTCATAATGAGGCGATTTCAACATTACCATATGGTCCAATTTGATTTTTATCAAATAAACCGTCGCTCATATCATATTAGTATTTTAGTTTTTGTCCTGAAAATCACTCATACTATTGCTAGCCTTGAAATTCCTTCACTTGGAAAAGGTGTTTTTTTTTTTTCTTTTTTTTAGTACATATGAGGGTTATCTTGTAGAGATTTAAATCACTGACTTTAATATAAAACCTTTTTTTTTTTTAGAAAATAGAGATCCTTTTTTTTGTAATTATAAACAAGTAAGAAATAGAGATTATATTAAATATAAAAAAGATATTACAACTTAATTTGATAGTGCTAGTTTGTAGTTGCAATTGTTAATTTTTTAGTCTTTTAACATAAAAAATATATATAATATATAATATTTATTTTGATTGATATTTTAAATATTTTTATAAAAATAGAAAGACATAACAATAAAAAATTAAAGTATCAAGAAATGTTGTCAAACAAAACCTACATATGAATTCCTAATTTGATGTACCTAAAGTCAATAAAAGTTCACCTAAAATATTAGAATTAAATACAGCAAAAAACATACTCTTAACGAATATAAACAATTAAGTTTAGAGAACTGTTTATACCTAAAGATTATCATGCAACTATATAGGGACATAAATAGAGCTACAAAACTAAGAGAAACGTAAACATGTTCATCCTAAGCTACTAATTTATTCAAGCTCTTATTGATGGAAAATATTCTATTTAATTAAGAGGGTTAAGATATATACAAGCATTAATTTTTTTTTTTTTTTGAAAAAAGGTTGAAAGCTGCATGGAAAAACATGCAACTTTTGGAGGGTTCCAGTTCCAGCATGCTGCAGTTCAAAAGAAGTGGGTGCGTGCGGGATCAGCATCAAAGAGATGACTTCCAACAAAAACTGCAATGAAATCGAGGAAGAAGTTGGCTAACTATCTATAACTAGGTGTTAAAAAGGTTTGGATCAAGAAATTAACAAAGGAGAGAGGCAGCAGATGCAGATTCCACATCGATTTCCATCAAATCACGTGGGAAGCCTTAATTTGTCGCTTGCTTAGTCCTTAATCCAACCGCTATTTACCCCCTACTCATCTATTGACTTGAGAATTATTAATAATTACTCCAACATGTGAAAGGTTTGTGTCGGTCTCCTCTGGAGAATAAGGAACAGCTTGCTTTGAACCGGAGAAAGCAGCAGAAACATGCATAACCGGATTCGAGGCCAATTCACATGGCCTTCAATATATAAATTAATAGCAATATTAGCTTGTTCCTATATCTTTTCTCCAGCTTAGTTTGTTACTGGTTCTCCTCCTTAACTATTATTTTTAATGATGAGATGATAAGGTAGTGACAGATGGGTTCATTAATTAATTTGTTTAATTTCATCAAAAGCTGGTATATTTTCATCTACTGGCCGGCATTAAAGGCTTTGGTGTTTTTCTCAACTCATATCCTCTCGTCTTTAATTCATCATCAATTCCCACTTCTCTCAAGGTAGTAGTAGAAACACTTTGCCCTCTGTGCCCACCTTGTAGACCCCAACTTCTCTTTTGTCAATGGACCTCATGCCATCAACAGTTTTTCTTTAATTTCCTTCCACTATGTGTCGCAGTTGTAAACAAAAGTAATAATGAATTTTTTGGAAATTAAAGGCTAAGTTATATATAAAGAAAATATATGTGTATCAATCTCCATTTTTTTTTCAGAGTTTTGGATAACTTTTTTAGTTATTTAATTCAAAATTAGGGTTTCATGTCAATTCACTTACAAGGGTGTTAATTACTCTAAAAAAATTTCTATGAATCCATGAAGTTGGCTGTCATCCCTTGAAGGGAATGAGACAAAACCATGCATACTTATGTATGCATTCTTGTGAAATTCAAGGTCTTGATATGGAGATTATTGATAATTACTAGAATCTAGATACCATTATTCTGAAGATACTGCTTATTGCTTATAATGAAGACTTAAAACCTAAGGTACGATTTCATTCTCCTATGTATGTATATATAGATTCACTTTAATTTGATTTTAGATGTGAATGCGTGAAATGAATTGGAGTTCATAAACCCTAGCCTACTTGTGATTTTTATACCCATTAATTCAAAATAACTCAATTTTAATTATTTAAGTTACAAAAGTACGTAGTCTGCAGAATTAAAAAAAAAAAAAAAAGAATGTTAATTAACAGGTTGTTCAAATGAAACAGGTGGTTGCTGCGTTGACTGATTAATCGTAAATTAACAAGATGTTTTTTCTTTTGCGGATTCTGTTTTATTATTTGTTTGTTTTGTTTCTCAAAAAAATTATTT